ACTGCATGCCTGACCATTTCGACGCTGTCACTGAGGGAGAAGGATAAATACGGAGTCGCGGTAAATTATATAAGCTAGCTATCCAGCCGCTCTTTCCGAAGCCCCAACCTCATACAATGAACTACCTAGGCGCCATCAGCAGTTCATCTGCGTGGAACAACTTACTCAAGTGACCGTATAATATACCTAAGCGTGGCTGCTAAGAGCGAGCTATATGTATTAACTAAACGAAAACAAATGGCGGTGAAAAGGTTTAACTAAAATACATTTATTCACGGCTGCTATACGAAATATTAAACAAAATTTATATTGGGTAGGTAACAAATGTAAGTTATAAGAAAATTGTAGAATATTTTCTTGGAAAAATGTTTGCATGTACTAATTTTACTGACTTTTGTAGTTGACCCTACCAAAAAAATACTTAAATAAATGAAAACAAGATTAAACCAATTTTGTTTTATATTAAAAAGTAAAGATTATCATTTTGTTCAAATAGTCGTACAAAATTTCGAATTTGAAAACTAATGTACATACTATATGTATACATGTTATTTTATAACAACTAATAAAACCAATTTTTTTTACGCAATTCACAAAAGTTCGCAAAGATCATTTATAAAGAAATAGTAACAAAGTACAATTCCGGCAGCAGATACACATTAACAAAAATCTTTAATACGGGACCTCCGCAAAACAAACACATTGGAAACATAAGATTTAAAAAGCCTACTAGATATTTCAAAAAACTCACCTCATCAAACTCCTGGATACACAAAAAAGGATACCCTAATGATAGATTCCCTACATTTCTGTTTAAACCGTAGGTACGTATAATTATTGGACACAAAATTGTCTGATTTCCGCGAAAACCTTAATGTTCACGTAACACACTACCGCACCGTAAACTACATATTATTATACTATTGTTTATTGTACAATGACAACGAACACAGAGTTGCTGTATCATCCAAATAGAAAGAGTGAGCATTCGGAGAGAGAAAGATAGGTAGTACGCTCGATCAACAAAAATAAATAATTTTAGACGAAAGCTCATTTTGTTTTATTTAAAAAATACTCCAATTTTTTTGGAATGTCTAGTTTCCTAGAAAGGAAAGAATGTTTAAAACCGTTCACTATTCTTGGCATTCATTACATGCCCCAGAAATACACCGTCGATATGCAAATTTCTCTTTTTCCATAACATTAAACAGTACAGATAATAAATCGGCAAATACGTTTAATTTCACCAGAAATTACGTTTCATCTATTAACGATAAAACAAAATATTAATTAGTTTATGAATTCAACGAGCATCAGTGTTGTTATACCGTGCAAACAGAGAGAGTGAGCATTCGGATAGNTATAAAAATATATTTTGTTCTAATAAAAGACATTCTTAGTTAAAACCATTGTGTAACTCAGTGTTCACAATTGTAAACATACAACAACTAGTACGTGCGCGTTTAGATTCAGTCTTTGTTAACAAATTGAGGTATTTCTAATGTAATAATTAAGGTTAAGAAGCACCCCTATTATTTAAAGCATAACAAGCCCTAAATTTAATGATGACGATCATGCAAGATAATGGTCAAAACGGATGATAACTCTTATTTCAATAACTCACCATTTATACTCCACTTAACTCGTAATCCTAATCCTATGTACAACTTTCGTTCCAATCACTGTTCAAATTCACATTGATTGCACAACACGATATCGGATAAGTTTTCTTTACTAATCTACGAAAACTAACGCGATACATTAATTAATTAATAGCACTCGATACTACCTAATAACATGGCGCCGGATTAATAATAACAGTAAATTGTAATATTAATTTCTATTCTTCGTGCTAGATCGGACCTGGCCACACAAGTACTTTTCTTTTACAGAAAATGTTTTAATTTCCATCTCTTTCTCACTCTCATTCTATCTATCTCGTTCTTTCATTCGTGACGAAGCAAGCCTTTTTGATAATAACATATACGCTTTTTTCAAAGTCATGAAAAAACACAGACATGTATCTATACATCGCCTTGAAAGAGCAAAAACACGTTTATTCGATAAATATAACAAAGGAACCAATATACGAGGTTTCAGTAAAATGAGTTCGGTTTTTCGACCTATTAAACAATTAAGGTCAATTAAGTTTATTTCCTACAAAAATGCATTAATTTTCAATACTAATTGTGAATTGCCATTAGGACTATGAAGGAATGAAAGACTATTCATATCGACAAAAAGAGCCTAACTCATTAAAGAAGTTCAAAATAGTCTACAACTACTTCGGTAATGGAATAGCTTTAAAACAGTGATTGGACTTTCAACTTTGGGTAATTGGTTTCCGAAATTACATCACAACAACCACGATAAGCGTATAGATTTAAAATAATGGAAAAGCCTTAAACATTAATTCGTTAATTTCGGAAATCAGCCCCCACATCCTACTAAATAGACAAATTAATACATTATCCTGGTAATACAAATTCAAAAAAGTTTAATTTATGACAATGACCACGCATTTATATTCAAAACAAAGCTTTATTTGCACTTCATAGCATATCCAGGGAAGTGTTTTCTTCTCTCGGTCGACTGTTCAGCATACGACTGTTAAAGAGAGCAAGTATTCGGATAATAAATGATAGACGATCACGCTCGAACTTAGGTGCACTAATCCTAACGACAAAAGGATCCTTTTTCTATTTAATTTATTTAATATCTATTTTTCCCTCAATACAATTACCCAATAAAAAATTTCCCGTTGTTTCGTCACTTGGTTTAATGAACCACAAAATATAACATCACAATCAACTCTCACAAGCCAAGGGGCGAAACGTTGAAAAATATTATAAAAAAATAGGTTTTTTACCTGAAGCAGCTCAGATTGGATGTTTACATATTTATTTCTGAATAATCACTTACATTATGATACAAATCGAACAGTACTATAATTTTAAAACAGTTTAATATCCAAGGGCTGAAATCATTAAAAAGATCGCAGTCACACAAGATACTTTTGTTAATGACGCAATTTCCTTCCGACCCTTGCCAACCCCAATTCTGTAAGTTAAGTCGTTCGAGATAAATTCAAAGTTTAATTTCAAAAATCTATACATTTTAATAAGAGCTGAAATTTTACAGTCATTGTTTTTTATATAAAGTGGATTATTAAATTAAAATATAATTATTGTATGCTTCATAATATTATTTCCCTTAAATAACTAAGTGCTATCATCAGCAAATAAATAAATAAACAAAGTACTCATCAGCCATTTTTTAACCAATTCTGTATTCAAGGAAAGAATTATGGAAAAAAAATATTTCTCTGCTATTATCGTAGTTAGCATGTTTTTAGTTTATAAAAGTTTGTTTTGTTTTATTTAGGTTTTTAATTGAAAATCTACAATATTCAAAATGTTTAAAAAAAAAATTGGTAATAAGTATAATAAGTTTATATATTAATTATTAACAAATTCAACGTTTCGTTATTTAGTGACCGATAGTTCTGTTCTGATTTCATATCTGTCAAACAGTTGTTCAATTCATTGAGCTATATTAAAATACACAGATGTATTATGTAGTAAACGAACAAACTGTATATGGTCCACAAATTTTCTTTTACACGTTAAAACATTCGTGTATGATAATGTGTGGTTTCGTTATCTGTGAAGAACGTCAACATTGTAAGGATATGTAACTTTCAGGCATTGTCCTCTATAACATCTTGATATTCTTATGTATATTGGTTTCAACTTGCAAATTAATACGCAATAAATTACTATTTATTAGACCGGAATTTGGTAACAGGCGGAACTCCTCGATTTTATAACACATGCTTTATTGGGGGTTGATAATTTACTCCTTGATATGGAAGATAAAAATGTTCTTAGTCGTTAAGATTTTACTTTTTGAACAAAAAGTGTTTTTCAAATTGCATACCTTCATAACGCAAGATACAGTTAGTTAAAAGTAATTTAAGGTCTAAGTACTGAAGGGAATACAATCCACAACAGCTCAAAGGGCTCCGACAATCGAATGTATTTAATAAAGTAATGGCATAAAATTCCGCGTTTTCAAATTACATGTCAATGAAAAGAAAGAAAGTTTTAGTTATAAAACCTTTGTGAAAAGATTGGCATGCACGTTTCGTTGGTATAAGATTGGGAAACCACAACTGATCTTAAACTAACTCAATTGCCAATTTTTTCACACGGATTTTTTCACTAAAACTTCCTTTCTTTTTATTGGCGTACAGTTTGTTTGAAAACACGGATTTTATATTAATTTTTACAAGTACACTCCACCATTTCAGCCCTTTGGGCTGTTATGAATTACATGCATTTCAATACTAGGTCTAGTACAACTATTGTACGTTACAAAAACATGCTATACGAAAGGACGGAAAAGCAACCAAATTTAAATTTTCACTATTAACGGAAAGTGTGTAACGATCAAGAACCGTTTTATCTATCTTATCAAGTAGTAAATTATTGATAATGTAAGAGAATCAGCTCTCACTTTATAACATTCAGCAAGAAACTTTAATTTAAATCCAATTAACCAAAATCGTACAAATGAATAAACGTTGCCGATTTTGAATGTTCAATGTTGATTCTCAAATTTATATTCTAGGTAATTTTTTATTCAATTTCTGTATTTATTTGTTTTATTATTATAATACAACTAATGGTTAAAATAAAAAATAATGAAAAATATGAATTTTTATATGGTGAAATTATTGTTACACATTTATTTAAGACTCAAATTTTAGTGAAAATCGCATCTAAATCAGTTAAGAAATGACTGACCTATCCCTTTTAATAGTTTCACTTCCTTAATTCTTCGATGTGGCGCCTAACTGCATTCCTTAAAGTGCAGGTGCATTGACATTGACCTACATATTAATTTACCATGATGGCCGCCAACGCAATAGCCAATCAGATGCATCGAACGGTTGAAATAGACTAAAACTGCATACCCAAATTAGTCACCCGCGATGCATTGGAGAATGTACTTCGCTGCATTAAATTTTAGGTTATAACTACGTAAAAACTAATAACTTTTATTTTTTTGTTAGTTACGTTGTTTTTATAGTAATTGTTTAAAACCAAATGAATTATTCGTCTGAAAATTGTTTTATACTATTTATTTACCGTTTGAACATGGAAATAGAATAACTGCAAAAATAATGTTACCTTTATTCAGTCATGTCCTCGAGCTCCTGCTGATGAGCTGAATTCACTTATGATGGAACAAAACCTCACATCTGTTCAATTACTATATATCATTTTACCAATTTTCAACAAGAATATTTAAAATGTAAATAAATATCGAACCATGTCCATTCAAATTTACATCATAGAACTTATCGTTAACCAAAAATACCTATATCATAGTGCCCTCTAGTGATTTTCATAAAGTCTACTAGTAGGTAGGTAAATTGACGTGTCGATTTTAAAATGTAAAATAATATTCCATCTAAATTTTAGTTATAGTGTTTATTAAAATGGTTAAGACAGCAATAGCAGATGAAAGCTATCTTACATATTTAAAAAGTTTATGTAAGCCAGATACTTGCACTGTGGGTTTAATTTTGGGTCAGGTAAATATAACCTCTTTCTTGTAACATACGCAACCAATTTTAAATATTTTCAGCCTAGCACAGGCAAAGATTTTATAATACATTTAGCTAGAACTCCCCTAGGGCAGTGTGATACTGCTGCCAAGAAGTCAATTACACCAGTAAAACCTGTAAAGCACATTAATGAAGTGTCAGAATCTGTTGTAGCGGATCATGCAAAACATGCTACTAGAATGTTGCCTGGAGGCATGTTTGTTCTTGGAATATTTGTCGTTTCAGAAGAAGACATATTTTCACCAGTTGATAGTAAATTAGTAGCTATACTTAACCAAATCAGCAAACAACTGTCGATGAATTCATTTGTATATGGAAATCCAAGTAATTGTGAAAAATTAGTGCTTAATTTGTGTACCACAACTCAGACATACACTTGTAAAAGTTATGAATCTTCCACTTTTAAACCGGCCGAGATTAAGTTTCAGCCAAAGATTGCGACAAAATGGTTACAACTAGAATGTAAATATGAACTTGATCAAGTGTTTACTATTCTGGAAAAAGACATTGGATGGCCATTGAGGAGATATATGACTGTAAGTCTAGCCTAATTTCACGTTTACAAAGTCTACTTTGTGATTTTTTTCAGAACATATTAGAATCCATTAATAAAAACCTTCATAATGCTGTATTTATAATTGATGGGGAAATAAAAGATAATGATGAATATTTGGAGTCAGTGGGTAAGAAACGGAAGCTGGCAAGATCTAAAACTGGTTATCATGAAAATACCGATTCTAAAGCCCTCTCAGTTACAATTCTGTCACCTTGTGTAAGTAGAGCATCTCTAGTTTTCTTGCACATGAAAATTTTGCAATTTCTATTAGAAAGCACCTGATTCCAACACAGATCCTGAAATTACTGATTGTGGCAGTAAAATAAGACTGACTGGACATGTAGCTAGTAAAGTGTGGCTGCATCCTAAAGCAACAATAGGAACTGCATCAGAAGCAATTGTGCAGGATATTGTTCGCAGTTTGGCAGCTAGACTGGAAATGCATTGGGATTCGTTAATAGAAGAAGAACATGGTTCCCCTGAAGGTATCCTAAAGACTACAAATGTTCAATGATTATCAGTGAATACTGATTTTTTTTAGACACCAACAGTATCCACGAGCCTCCTAGAAGAGTCTTGGTAACATTGCCATCTAGTAAAATAACACTTTCTGATTATCTATTTCCTGGAGAAGGCCCTCAGGAGTCGCAAATATCACTACAGGAACTCTTGGACATCACGTTAACTGCAGATAGTGAAATAAAAGACATTGAAGGACAAGCTGGTAGGTAATATCGCATGTTTGATGAAAGACTACAGTTAAGGAAGTGAAGTACAGTGAATTTGTCTTAAGCTATATTTGGCACATTTGAAGCATTGCTCAATAAAAATTCAAAATTCAAAAGTATTTTTGAATATTAAATAATTCTATTAGATATCTTTAGTTAAAGAAACATATAGACATTTTTATTTTTATAACTATTCTTTACTTGGCATAATACTTAGAAAAAGTAAATAGTACAGAAAAGGGTTATAATTAGTTGTAAAAGAAAATAATAATAAGTTTAAAATTTACTTTAATCTATCACACGGTGATACTTTATCCCTATTCCATACAATTTTTGAGAAGAAGGATATTGGATGGGATTATAATTGAGATAAATTCACTGTACATCCCTTCGTACAAAATTTTAAATCCAAAATGATGTAAAAATCAATGAAATTTATGCGAGGGCACTATAAATTGTGGTACTACATTATTATATTGTTAAAAAAAAACTTATCTAATCTTTGTTTTACAGATTTGAATGAAATGTACATGGAAGAGGTGGAAAGTGCAGATGATGTGTTACCCAAATTGCCCACAGATACCAATAAGTTTATGTATATAGTTGGCTTAGGTGTTGCGTTTTTAGTGCTGATCATTTCACTTATGGTTCATTATTTTAGGAGCAATTCATAGGGATTTTTGTCGATTTTATTTTATCAAACGAATATTTTAAGATGTACACATTTAATTGAAGATTTATGGATTATTGCATTTATATATTTTGTATGAGTAAATAAATTTTATTATGATGTAGTCTTCTTAATATTTTTTAATAAAATAAAAACAAAAAAAACTAAAGCAAAAACATTTAAAATACAAAATATAATAAAGGCATGGAATAATAATAAGGTAAGTGTGACTTTTTTAATTAAATTTGCATTTTGAAAAGTCCATTTCTGGATGTTGTTCCATAAACCTAAAACAAGAAAAAGTTTTTAAAGAAAACTTCGTCTCTGGAACTAAGTTACTAGAAACTTGAAACTAATTATTATAAAACCTAAAAAAACAATAATAGAGATCATACTTTTTCAATACGTCCTGTTTCTTTTGTTCATCACTGGTTGGTAAACCCATTTCTTTTTGTCTTTGATCGTACATCATCTTCTCTACTAAACCTCTAGTTTCACCATCCAAATCACTAAGTTTTGACGGTTCTGGATTGATTTTTTTGGTGCTTATTTCTGGATCCGAAACTACTAATTTGCTCCACCAATTCATTTTATTAACCTGAAACAAAATAAAAACAAAAGTTAATACCAATGTTAATACTTTTGGCAATATACACGATGTTTCAAAAACTGCATAATTATTTGCAAAGTAAAACCAATTTTCATCAAAATAATTATCCAGTTAAAATTAAATCCAATAAAAATTTGTTAATAATACGTAAAAAGTAGAAACATTGTTTNGCAATTCATAGGGATTTTTGTCGATTTTATTTTATCAAACGAATATTTTAAGATGTACACATTTAATTGAAGATTTATGGATTATTGCATTTATATATTTTGTATGAGTAAATAAATTTTATTATGATGTAGTCTTCTTAATATTTTTTAATAAAAAAACTAGAAAACAAACCTGTTCTCATACATATAGTGTGGCCCGAAAAATACGCCTCTCAAACTGGAATGATTCAATGTCTCAAAAAAAAAAAGAAAAACAGTACAATCCTATAAAAAAAAAGATGAGCGAAGCCTAATACACCTTAGTTTTATATTTATTAAGCACATAACACAATTTTTAATAGAAAGAAAGTGTATCAAAGTCGAAGTTGTGCTTAAAGAATGAAGACTAACAAAAAATCACCTTAAACTACTCAAGTTTGGGAAGCTATTGAGCAATTTTCCTGACTACCCTTGTCCTTTGAACAAAATATGTGAAACTACTCAATGACAATTACGATTCGTAGTACTAGTACACTGAAAAGGAAATATTAAGTACTTAATTCTGATACGAAAAATTATTTAAAACCACATGTGCCTTTTCTTCTATTATTTAATAAAATAAAAACAAAAAAAACTAAAGCAAAAACATTTAAAATACAAAATATAATAAAGGCATGGAATAATAATAAGGTAAGTGTGACTTTTTTAATTAAATTTGCATTTTGAAAAGTCCATTTCTGGATGTTGTTCCATAAACCTAAAACAAGAAAAAGTTTTTAAAGAAAACTTCGTCTCTGGAACTAAGTTACTAGAAACTTGAAACTAATTATTATAAAACCTAAAAAAACAATAATAGAGATCATACTTTTTCAATACGTCCTGTTTCTTTTGTTCATCACTGGTTGGTAAACCCATTTCTTTTTGTCTTTGATCGTACATCATCTTCTCTACTAAACCTCTAGTTTCACCATCCAAATCACTAAGTTTTGACGGTTCTGGATTGATTTTTTTGGTGCTTATTTCTGGATCCGAAACTACTAATTTGCTCCACCAATTCATTTTATTAACCTGAAACAAAATAAAAACAAAAGTTAATACCAATGTTAATACTTTTGGCAATATACACGATGTTTCAAAAACTGCATAATTATTTGCAAAGTAAAACCAATTTTCATCAAAATAATTATCCAGTTAAAATTAAATCCAATAAAAATTTGTTAATAATACGTAAAAAGTAGAAACATTGTTTTCCCCTTACGCATTAGTAAATTTCTCGAAATTGTTTCTTTTTCATAATTTTAGAATTATTAGCTTTCTAAATAAAAGAGGAATATATTTCTTTTTCATAATTTTAGCAAAAATTGTGGAAGTTCTCGATCAGTAATTCACTGAAACTACCAGACGTAGATTTCTAACTAAGCTCTCATCAGCACTCGACAGACTGTTTCGCTAAATGGCAGTGTACTGTCAGAAGCTTGATACAAATGTTATAATCGTTAATTTAACAACACAAATAAAAAAAGATTTGACCTTTAAAATTATCCTAAAAAGGGGAACGAGTCTGTAACAGACACACAAATAATCCAAAAAGGTTACGTTTGCTCTAATAAAATAAGGAACCCAAGCCTTCAAGACTTTAAATAGCAAACTTTTGATTAAATTCAATAAAACAATTCCTTGGATACCGTCTATTCCAATGATATTTATATACCCTTTATTCGTGTAATTAATGAATGAAATAACTGACATGATTTGAAACAATAGTTTATTTTCAAGTGGCGCACCCACAATTCATTGAAAATACTCCGACGTGCCTGAATTGGAGCAGACTAATATTTTATCAGGCCTGAAACTATAAATCTTGTTTATGCATTTATCTTTCTTCATTGGCGTAATTTTCTGCTTGCACGCTTTTGTTGTAAATCCAACGGCTACAGTTCAGCGTTATGAAATATTTTTCGAACCGGATCTGCATTAAAAAAAAAACTCGAGAGTGGTATTTCAGTAAATAACAACCGAATGCCCTGTACAACTTAAATCCTCATCGTTCGCGGTTTCAAATGTTGGGAAAACACAAAATGAATAAATCAAAAATTACTTTTTTCCGTAATCTGTAACACAACACAAATACTTACAGGGTGGCTCAAAAAGTACGTAATAAGCGCATCACGACCAAACTGTATGTTTAACCGAAAAACTTCTCAAATAATTTTTTTCCTTATTTTAATGTAAGATCGTTTGTACTATCAGGATTTGATTTACCATTCAGTGTTCAAAAATAGAAAAAATAAGGTTTCGTTTAAATGGCGGTCATGTGAAATATGGGTTCAATCGAAAAAATTGTTTAGAATGCCAAAATATGGGGCCATGTAAAAAGTCGCGGCGATATTCAAATGTTATATTTTCTAGTCAAATTACTTGAACAGAATCAAGAAGCATTTGAATATCACAGAGATTTTTTGCATCGCCCTATATTTTACATTTTGAACAACTGTTTCTTATAACTTTTTTCGATTGGAGCCATATTTAACATGACTGCCATTTAAACAAAGCCTTAGGGAACAAGTCTTGTTTGAAAAATTTTTTGATCAAACTTACAGTTTAGCCGCAATGAGCATATGGTGTACTTTTTGGACCACCCTGTATATGGATGCAAGTTAATTTAACGAATAAACAAAGGGAAAACTAAAGGTCTAGCCCTCGACAGGGAAGATAAAAATGTAGATATCATTTGAGGGAAATTTAAATAATTAATTATTTTAATTCCATTATAGTAATTCACTTTTCTAGGATTCTTTAAATTTTAGATTAGTCAAATTAAAAAATTGTTTATAATAACTTAAAAAATGTACAAATATCATTATCATTATAATAATAGAACAAAACCGTTTAAGTAAGCGGCTGGCGTGTGAAGTATAACAATAAAGGGAAACTCCTTGCTCATAATTGTTTGCCTTTTTTTTGTTTATATTTAAATAATAAAACAGTTTACAAAAATTTTTCATCCAATTTTTGCTGTCGATCATATCTCAAAATAAAGGCGTGAGTACACAATAAACACGGAGCCGTACAGCAATTACTTTAAGCAATATTAGTCTTTATTTGCACGTGCCGTTTTATTGTTATTGCTTTTTTCTATTTATAATTCGTTACATGCGTAAAAATCCCAGATACTTAATATTCTTGTTAATTACGTCGACGCATCACTATTAAATGCACCTAGTTCCAAAGGCCGATTTAAATCATAACCAATGGCGACTCGTACCTAAAATTAGTGGGATGCTGTTCCAAAATTTTTTTTACCAAACACAAGCATTAGCACGCCAAGGTTGGAATGCAGAGACTGCAGGATATGCGCATAAACATTAAGGATTAAGTTTAAAGGTTATATGCTGTAGGAGAATTGCAAAGATAGGGAATGATATTAAATCTTATCAATGATTTTAAGTAAAAATAGGACGTGTTGCAGCTCCACAATGTCTATACGCGAACTTCTATTGACCATAAACAATATGCTTTAAACACAATCTTTTGCGATGATGTCCATGTGACAAACGGACGGCACGTTTAATAATGCGTGTCCGCCGACACGTTTTCCATTATTTGTTCATAATTTTAGAACGGCTGGCCGTTACATAAACAGCAAACGGAACAATTACTGCCTATTAGCAAATTGTTTTCTGTCACGATCCGTCATTATAATTTTTCCTTTGTTTATATAAAAATAGAAGTGACAAAAACTGCAATTCAAACACGCTCGGAGAAAAGCTACAGGAACTTTGTAAAACGGGTCCATTCGTAATAAGGTAAAAAGCCCAGTTTCTGACACTCTAAGAGCGACAGCTGAGATTATATTACGATAACTAAAATAATACTTAATTAGAATAAATAATTTTTATACTATAAACAAGTTCAGAGTTTCTAGAGAAACTCAGATACGCGATATAGGCACTATAAATTGTAGTACTACATTATTATATTGTTAAAAAAACTTATCTAATATTTGTTTTACAGATTTGAATGAAATGTACATGGAAGAGGTGGAAAGTGCAGATGATGTGTTACCCAAATTGCCCACAGATACCAATAAGTTTATGTATATAGTTGGCTTAGGTGTTGCGTTTTTAGTGCTGATCATTTCACTTATGGTTCATTATTTTAGGAGCAATTCATAGGGATTTTTGTCGATTTTATTTTATCAAACGAATATTTTAAGATGTACACATTTAATTGAAGATTTATGGATTATTGCATTTATATATTTTGTATGAGTAAATAAATTTTATTATGATGTAGTCTTCTTAATGTTTGAACATGGAAATAGAATAACTGCAAAAATAATGTTACCTTTATTCAGTCATGTCCTCGAGCTCCTGCTGATGAGCTGAATTCACTTATGATGGAACAAAACCTCACATCTGTTCAATTACTATATATCATTTTACCAATTTTCAACAAGAATATTTAAAATGTAAATAAATATCGAACCATGTCCATTCAAATTTACATCATAGAACTTATCGTTAACCAAAAATACCTATATCATAGTGCCCTCTAGTGATTTTCATAAAGTCTACTAGTAGGTAGGTAAATTGACGTGTCGATTTTAAAATGTAAAATAATATTCCATCTAAATTTTAGTTATAGTGTTTATTAAAATGGTTAAGACAGCAATAGCAGATGAAAGCTATCTTACATATTTAAAAAGTTTATGTAAGCCANCTTATTTTTTATTATTGTGCTTGTCATTAATTAGGTACAGAATAAATTTATTTTAATTTTTAAAAAATTTGTTAACCCACTTAAGATCTTTTCTTTTTTTTTAATTCAACATAAACCTAAAATTGTCAGAAACTGGGCCAGTGTCAATAACTGGGTCTTTTACGTTATATATAACCTGACAATGTGTGACGACGACATTGTTCTTTTTTCAAAATACAAAATTTAATTTGCTCATTATATGTATGTGCTAATAAATTACAGGACTTGTGTCAAATTTTCTTTTATTCTGGGGAAGGGAATATTTAAAAATCAATCCTTTTTAACGATCGTCTTATTATAATTTATATTTATTCGGTTGCTTTATTAAATTTTCAAGATCTGTTCGAGTTCGTTAATAGACAAATAAAATCTAGTTTATCGTTAGTTCATTGTATAATGTAATGTGCCATTGTACAATTCAATTAAATCAACAATAAACTTTAGTTATTGGTTTTTTATGGCAGTGGGTGTGTGTGGTTGTATTCATTTGAAAGAATGTACATTTGCTTTAATTTTAATGGATTCACATGAAGATGGAAGTAAATAGTTGCGAATGTTTCGACACGTCTACTTAAACTAAATATTATGGGGAAGGCTAACAACTAATAGTAACTGTATGATGATAAATTGATTGACACAGTTTTGCAAATATGCATGACTCACACAAACATACGTTTTACGTAATAAATATGTGGTGGGTATTTAAATATTTATATTCTAATTGCACAGAGGTTACAATTTACCTAAAAATAAATTTTATGATGACCTTCCTAAGCCATTAGTATCCCATATTTATCAGAATTTCAGCTAAATTTGCAGTATCGTTTGCTAAATTTTATATTATCAGAAATGCGATTTATACAGGGTGTAACAAAAATAAATGCTGAGATTGCAGAAGGTGATAAAGCACTATAAAACATGAAAATTAAGTAAACGTTTGTATGTCCGAATGTTCACCGTTTTCGAGAAAAACGTAGTTGTAAGTACAGGTAGAGTCAATTCCGGCCCTGGTAGAGAAATACGGGCCGCAACGCTGCACTCAATCAGCTGGTAATTATTAACATCAGTGTAGCGTATATTTTTGCTCATGTATTGTTTATTTGTTAGATTAAATTTAGTTTCCATTAGTAGCCGTTTATTCTTTCAACGTTTAAACCTTATATGACATGATGTGAAAACGAAATACAAAAATGTCACACTCGAAACAGCAGGGATAGTTGCCTGAGCTCATGTGACAAATTTTGAAGGAAACGTTGCTGCGTCCTTATCAGTTGCAGCGAGTGTAAGCTTTGATTAAAAGTGATTCTCAGCCGCGGGTAAATTTGTGTCAGTGGTGGATAAAAAGTGCATCATAGCCTAATTTTTCCATAGGATGTTGCAGTGCTTTAATCGTACTACGCTGTTTGGTAGTCACCTATATTATCAATTCACGTGATTCAAGAAAAGAAACATCAAGATATGTAAGGACTTAATTGATAACATCAAAAAGCGCGACAGAAATCCAATACGAAAAGTGCTATCGTTGTGTTACCTCACTTACGCAAACTGAACAGTTGGAAAAAGCCAAGGTCACGAAGTCACACCAACTTTTGAACATTAACGTATCATTGTTTACATTCAATTAAAGAGTCGGTTGAAAAATTAAATAGCGAAAATTATGTAGGTGGTTCAACATATATTGTCGTAATGCATTTAAATATCCATAAAGTAGAAATAGAAACAATAATTAATCAGATTATGTGTGTGACAACTGTAACAACTAATTAATCATGCACATGTTTGGCACTATATAGCGACGACTGTAAAAACAGTAATAAAAAGAGGAAAATTTTGCGTTACCTTCTCCATTGTCAAAAGAATGAGTCGTCCATCCTCAATGACCCACGTTGACTCCTCGACTTTGATTTCGTATGGTAGATCGTCGTCGATAATGGGAGGTTGGCCCTTGACGCCGCATGTCAGATGCTTCTTGGTAATGTTGACCACCACATCCTTCTGTCTGGCCTTGAAGTTCACGTTTAGAGGAATTCGAACCTGAAAAGACGAAATGCGGTATTTTAAATGGCTCCTTTTTTTCCCACATTTACGTACACGACGACAGAGAGAAGAAAAAGAAGAAGGTAAACGACCCAAGATGGTTACCTCACGGAGATGAGGATTTTCCGGACATGTACATTTTCTTTTTAATACCCAAAAAAAACTTGCTTTTATTCGACACAACACACTCAAATTAGCGAATTAAACGTTTAAGTAATTCTTTTTAAAAATGTCAAAATGATTTGAGAAATGATAAATTACATACGCAAATCTATTACAATTATCCATCCGTCTTCTTGCTTTGTAACAGAACAAGGTGATCTATAATTGTTTAATACTTTTGTTTGGGTGAGACAGTTTATATTCGGTCATTTGATACAAGGACGATCTAAAAAAATCGATTACATCTGGTCAGGAATAGGTTAAAATTAAACGACCCAATTGTAGATTCTCGCTTAAGGATGCTTGGGAGGTCAAAATACTACGAGACAAATAAAAATTTGGAAGAACGTTCCTCATTCAATTCTAAAACTCCTGTAAAAATTACAAATCGTTTCACTAAATCGTTAAAAAGTTATTGAAATTTTAAAAAATTGTAATTTTACACGTCATTTTATGGAGATTCGTTAACCAAACAGATTTTTATTAACAGAAAAAAAGCTACCAGAAATTTCAAACTTTCATAATAAGTAACTTGAACGCTGGAGAATCACTAGCGTAAGATTATTCAAATTCAGTAAATGGTTATCGAGGAAAAAATGAAAAATTAGCTGAAAATCTCGTTTTTACTTGATAATATAATGATAATATTTATAATTGTCTGAAATAAATGCAATTTTAAAGTTTTAATTATTATTTAAACATATTAAAAAGTTTTACGCTCATTATTAATAGAGATTGAAACTAAATATTTTTTTGTTTCGAAGTTGAAATCAAGGCATATTCACTGCCAAAAGTCAGTTAAAAATTTTCCATATTATTCGTTATTTCTTATTTTATTCAAAGTTTTTGGTCAAATTCCAAATTTTCTCTCAAATCGTATACTTTTTTTTTAGTATAGATAGTATTTATTTACCTCATGAAATGCTGCAAAACCTAATTAATCACGAATTTCTAATTTTATGTACTCTTGTCTCCGATTGTACCTCCCAAACATCCTTAAGAATATCACAATTTAATATACTGAATTTTATTGAGAAATAAAAGAATATTTGACTCATAAATCGCTAAGACGATCACATTTTAATGAACGAACAAATATGTAATAATTAAAATAATGTACCATTTTATAGTAAACCCTAGAAAATGTGTTTGTATATAACAAATATAATACAGTTAGAATAAATGCATATTTTTCATTCGATATACTGCCGCATCACTATGCATCAAGTGATGATCAAGTAAAAGTTTAGACAATAAAATAGATAATAACTTAAATAGCAAGTTCAGTAATTATCCAGATTAAGGAGAAGCAAGAGTTCATTATTCAGAACAGGTCCAAATTTTTAATGTAGCAATTAAAGAAACTTTTGAAATCGTTATACTACTTATACATTATGTATGTGATAAGGTACTTCTCCGAATTTTGTAATACTCTCACATCACTGTACATCAAATTCATCAATATGATGCAATTTACTTCACATCGTAGTCACGTTTTAAACTTGCTGCATTTTTTTTCGTATTCAGTAGTATCTGAATTGGCCAAAATAAAAGGACAACTCTACGTAAATACATATAGGTATTCAGCGGAATTCGGTTATAACAACCATCAACGACCAGTATAATTTCATCACCATATCCAGAAATTGTAATAGGAGATGAAGTGATTCAAAATTTCAGTGAATCTACATGAATATTTTTTAATTAAAAATCGATTTATTATAGCCAAGTTTACAGGTACTTTGATCGTTCTTTTGAAAATGTGAAAAAAATATTAAAATAAATTCATATCCCATTAATAATTCAGTACATTTTTTTGCTTTGTATATTATACTATAGTGACCCGCCCCAGCTTCGCACGGGTGCAATTCTGATACTAAATATATTTTTATTTTGTTTAGATTATTATCAAAAAGGGGAAATCTTCAAAAGATACCCCCTGAACATACTAAATATACTACAGAATGTCTTTATATACAACATTCACAGTTTTTTTGTCATTAGACAATACAAACCGGCCTCCCGGCCGGTACCGCCGCAACCGCTATGTCCCTGCATTTTAAATCTGTAATATCTTCGAAAATATTCATTTAAATTACATGCTGTAAAGGGCCATATTGATCTATATTAAATGCACAATGTATTTAAGGTACTTAATTGGATAAGAATTAATGCTGTATTGCCTACAATCGCTTCGTAAATAAGTCATTATTTCTCATAAAAAGTAAAGGATAAAAATGGTTATTGTGGGTTATCCCTAAGAGATAGACATATACCATCCCGGACTTTTTTGTAGACCCTTTTAAGATGTACAATATTGTAGTACATTATTTTGATCTATCTCGTAGGGTTCAGCCAGCGTTTGCAATGTAAGCGCAAAAAATGTGTTTATTTACGACATCACATTAGAAACCTCTAAAATTATCAGTGTTTCCCTACTATATTATGCATGTATTATACATATAAACCTTCCTCTTGAATCACTCTATCTTTAAAAAAAAAACGCATCAAAATCCGTTGCGTGGTTTTAAAGATTTAAGTATACTTAGGGACAGACAGCGGGAAAGCGACTTTGTTATATACTATGTAGTGATTAATCCCTATCTACCAACAAGATAACCATATTCAATCTGTACAAAAGACAAAAAAGCTGTATGATGGTATAGAAGAATCTTAGTTACAGTATCTTCATAAAATTTCTAGGAATTTATTATAAATGCCTCATTAAAATCTGTCACTATACCAGAAATCAGCGTTACATCCGAGATCACTACAGCCAAAGGAATTTCGTAGGTATGTATGATAAGATTTCAAGTAGTTATAACCAAAAAGTCGTTACTACCGAGGTCATTATAAATGAAATTCAGTGCAAGTAGTAATAAATCGCCATCGATACGATGGAAATGGGTCAAAATATGGAGTACATAGTTTCGTGACTGGGTCAAGGCGAACTGTGCCGATTTGTGTATGTTACACAACTTAATGAAGACATGAAGTGACCCCAGAAGATTCAACTAACAGATTATTGTTATTATTAAGAAGCATCTGCCTGCTAGCCGGTTGGCATTTACGAATAGCATGAGATCTCCGCGTAATTACATTATTTGCTTCACGGAATAGCAAACGACAGAGATGCCCGTGAGGATAACTTATTGATTTTCGTAACTGAAGAACGCGAACTTTTTCGAAGTTTAATTGTTTATATGTATACGAGTGTGTATTATGCAAACCTTGCTTTTGGATGTATTCACTAATCAGTTACTTACAACGATAGGTAGTTAAAAATATTACGCACACAGATTACGAAATTTCACTGGGATACTTCGAAACAAATGCACACGTAGAATTAATCACGTAGGTACAAAAAAACAAGACAAAGTTAAAATTTTACGCATACCTACCATTATTTTCAGGTAGATTTGTTAAAGAATTAACGGTGAAAAGTAACAGTGTTATAGCTGTTTCACATGAAAGGTGTGCTGACATAAACAACCTATCAATCTTTTTGCAAGATCTTTTTGGTAACTTTTAGATGTCACCGCGAAAATAGCTACACTTTCTCTTGAGAAAGTGTAAACATATAAATACACGTAGAATTACTATAAAAACATCTAAGTCTAACAATTTTGATATCTAAAAAGTTCTAAAATCAAAGGTCAAGAGGATATTTTACTATTTCAAGTAATTTTCAATCAATACATTAACATGTACACAGTACCCGATTTTTGTTGAGCCAGAAGTCCTAGAAGACGACTGTGACTATTGAACAATTTAAAGAAAAAATCACCGCCCGATTTATTCACACCAGGTGTTCCTAGATTGGCATCCACACTTGCGCATTATCATTAAAAATGATGTACTTAATTTAGAATTCTGATTTTAAAATCGAAAGTTATACCTATCGTCATAAAGACATGAATCAGCACAGCTAATAGCTGCTATAGGTAGACACATAAATATGTATGGTACGATATGTAGTAAACAAATTGTTTATCAATACGTTTTCGTCCTTGATAGGATCGATTTATTGAACTGTGAATCCAAAGTAACCTGTATATAATACAGGTGAATTTGTTTCAAGCCATTGACGTTTGTAGGGAACTCCATCTGTTGAACAATATTCATTTTTGGAACGATAATATTAGTCATTCATTTATTCCTTGCAAATTACAATTTCTCTACCAATTTAGGTGAATTCATACGTACGTATGCAATTTCGTTTAGGAGTACTACAGAATTGTAACAGCATACTTACATATATGTTTGTATATGTAGCAGATGTCAACGAGCCTATGAATTTAACATTTAGACGTTACCTAGAGATAAAGGAGAAACATCCCTCTTCTCAAGACAATTCCAAAAACTTGACAACAACATAAATTTCCTGCGTTTTTGTGCAAATACGTCAGAATATTAATTCAAACTGAGCTAAGAACAACAAAGATAATTATGAGAAGCATAAAAATTGTTAATTAAATTTAAGGTGAATAAACCCGATGTTGTATTTTTTTGGTCCACTCCAATGTCTACTGTTGTATTTCTCTGTATATAAATCAACGTACAGGTAGTACCTACTCAAGGTGTAACAGAAAAAAGCTTGCAGGACGTGATAAAGCACTGTAAAACATGAAAATTATGTAAATGTTTGTCTGTCCCGAAAGTCCAACGTTTTCTAGAGAAACGTAGTTGAAAGTACAGGTATATTCAATTCCGGCCCTGGTAAAGAAACATCGCGCATAACGTTGCACTAAATCAGTTGGCGAATACCAACATCAATGTAGTATTTGTTCTGTCTTTCTTTTTGCTTATGTAGATTAGATTGAGTGCAATTCAGG